GGCCCCCCCTCCCTGCCCCCAGGGCCGCCTCTGTGCCCGTCCCTGCTTCTCTGACGCCAAGGAGCCCTGTCTCCCTGGGGCTCTCCGCTCCGCTTTAGGCCCCCCTCTGCGTCCTGTCTCTCCAGTCCTTCCTCTCCTCCCCCCTCTACAGCAGGGGCCCGACGGCTGGCCTTGTAAGACCCCCAAACCTCTGGTCTGGCCCTGCCGAGGCAACTGCAGGCGGGACTCGAAATTCAATAAATCTAGGAGCTTTTTCATAGCTAATTTTTAAGTTAATAATTTTCTATGGCCCGCAAATGATGTTATAAATATCCAAGTGGCCCTTGGCAGAAAAAAAGGTCCCCCACTCCTGCTCTACAGACTTCCTGCGAGGCAACTCCCCGACGCTAGCTGGGTGCCCTACAGCTCAGCTCACTTCCGACACCAGCTGCCTGGAGACAGTGTCAGGTCTCACAGGTTGAACACTCAGTCCCACAAAACTGCCCCCACTTCAGGCACGAGTGACAAGTCCAGGGCCTCACCTGAGCTTCTTACCGACCGGTATGGATCGGAGATTGCCACAACCCCCTCCTTGGGTTTAATTTGCTACAGCGGCTCACAGATCTCAGACAAGTGTTACTACTAGATCACTGGTTATTGTAAAAGGATATAACCAGACGGAAGAGATGCCCAGGGCACGGCATGGGGAAAGGGTGTGGGGCTCCCATGCCCTCAGAGGTCACCACTCTCCCTAGTCCCCACGTGCTCACCAACCCAGAAGCTCTCTGAACCCTCCTTTGGGGTTTTTATGGAGGCTTCACACAGAGACACAACTGAGCAAAAAGCATGGGCCATTGTGATTGAGTCAACCTGCTGCCCCTCTTCCCTCCCAGGATGGGGGTGGGGGAGTCACATTCCAGCCATCTCATCCCAGGACTGGCTCCCCCGGCAACCAGACCCCACCCTTACATGCTTTCCAAAAGTCACCTGAGTAACAGGAGGCGCCTTAATCGCTCTCAACACTGAGGAAATTCCAAGGATTTTGGAGCTCTGTGCCAGCAACAGGGACCAAGACCAAATATATATTTATCATTAGAAATCACAATATCACACCTTCCTTTCTTTTTTCTGTTCCTTTTACGATTAATTTTTAGAGAGAGAGAGAGAGAGAAACATCGACGGGCTGCGTCCTGCACATGCCCTACTGGGGATGAAGCCCGCAACCAGGGCTTGTGCCCTGACCAGGAATGAAACCAGGACTTCTCGGTGCAGGGGATTATGCCCAACCAACTGAGCCCCGCTGGCCAAGGCATTCCCTGTGCCTTTCCCCCCCATGTTTACTTTATGATGATATTTGCCTGCAGAAAAGGGCAGGAAACATGATGGACGCACTCAATCAAAGAGTCTTCCTATAGTGAGAGCCCAGGTGAACTCCGCCTGCGGGGAGAGACACTGCAGTCCCCCTGAAGTACCCCGAGTGCCTCTCCCCTGTCACCCCACCCTCTCCTTCCCAGAGGTGATCGCTCCTGGCTCTTCGGAGCTGGCCCACCTGGGTCTGCGTCCTTGCAGGGCAGGGTTCCCCTGCACTTTCTCTGGGACCTCTGTAAATAGAACCCCAAAGTCTCGGTTTTCTGCCCAGCTGCCTGTGTTTAGCATCACAGGTTTCTTTAGAGTGTCTGTGTTAGGAGCCCACCACAGTGTACTGTAGGGGCATTTCTGCATCTGGGTGGTTTCCATTTGGGGCAGCTAGGCCTTCCATTTTCTGCCCCTGACCCTGTTTCCTCCCAGGCAGAGCCACGCCAGGGACCAAATGGCTCAGGGTTCAAGTTCCCGGGTGGCCAACTGGGCCCTGCTGCTTCGGAGGTCCAAGGAGAAGATGCAAGAAGGCCTACACACCTTGGAGCCCTGGGCGTGGGTGCTGAAGAAGATCGGGGGTGCGGAGGGGCTGG